ACTAATTAAGGGGAGGGGTCTGGCAAAGAAAAGGGGATGGAATTGGCTTTTTTAAATATTTTAGGGATTTTTGTGCTTTCACTTCTCTTGTAGTAGGACATTAAGAAGTGTGGAAGGACTGTTCTTAGGTATACTGGTGAAATTCCATATCACTTGAGGCAAAATTTTACCAGCCCACACATGGAACCCCATTGAAGTCAAAAGGATGCAGAGGTGTAAGAACAGAATGTGACTCTTAGGCGTTGTCAAAAAATTACCCCATCTATATTTGTTATCTCAGCTATATCCTGAAGTAAAAAATCAACATTATCCTATATACCGGTTTAGCTGTATTTTTATTTCTGAAATTTTGACTTCCATATCTTTCATTCTAGAGATCCTTCTGGATCTCAGTACTCTCTTCACTGTGTGTAGCATATTAACATGGGTAGAAAGCCATTTGATAGCTAAGGCCAAGGTTTTCAAGTATAAATGCCTAAAAATTAGGCTCTAAAATAATTGATCTGACTTTCAAAAGTACTGAGTCCCCACTAAAGTCAATGGGAACAGTGGCTGCTCCACACTTTTGAAAATTAGGCCATTATTTTGGGAGTAGAAGTAGGGACTAAAGTAGTCCTGCCGATGCTGAGGGACAAAGGGGTCAATTGCCCTGGGGCCTGGCAATTTCCGAAAGCCCCAAGCCCTTTAAACTGCAGATGGAGAGCCGTGTGGCATGCTACATACAACTCTAAAGGCAGCAGAGAAGTGGAGGGCTGAGTGAAGGCAGGTGTGGCATGCCCCTGACCCTTCAGACCAAGGCCTCACCCTTTCCAGGAGTGCGGAGTCAACCTCCCCTGTCCACACACACACACCTTGTACGGTGGCCCAGCATGGTTGTTGGCTCCCCTGGACCCAGAAGACAGATTTTGGCCTCCTGTATTATGAGAGCCTTAACCTAGGTTCAGAAAAAAGTCAATTCCAACACCCTATTATTTTCTTCAGGCTCATGAGTATCAGAGAACATAATTGGAAGGTCAGGATATGTCTACACTACAGTGTTATTTCAAAATATCTTATTTCAAAATAACGCATCTACACATGAAATGCATTTCGAAATAGCATTTTACTATTTCAAAATAGCGTGTCCACACTGAGTGGACACTGAATCACATTTAAGGCCAGACAGAACTAGGTCTGGCAGGGCATCAGGTCAAGAGTTACGTTGTGTGATTGCTGCCTGAGGCTATCTGAGGGACGCCCTCTTCTTCCCGCTCCCCCCACTCCCACCCCCGCATACAGCCGGTTCTCAGGTTTCCTTGTTTGCTTGTCTACCTCGTGAGGGACAGCAAAGCATTTTGTCTGTGCATGCTCTGGTTGCCCTCGCTCGGGACACCACAGCACTCTGCAACATGGAGCCAGAGCTGCCCCTGGGCACTCTGGTGCTTCTTGTGGACATGTTGCTGCAAGCCTGGCTGCATTTTTTGCAGGCTTCCATCCATGAGGTCCATTGGGGGGCTGTCAGTATTCAGTAGGCCCTGTAGGAGATCTTCCACCCTTAGAAGCACTAAGAGCCTCCCTGGTCTGCCCCACTGGGGGCTTGTGCATCATTCCTCCCTCACGTTCTTCCACTTACCCCTCACTAACTCTCTTTCCTGATGTCAAATAAAATACACATATTTTCATGAACACAAACTCTCTTTATTTAACAAAATGGAGGGGTGTAATGAAACTCTGATAAAACTGGGGAAAGGAGGCAGGAGAGGGGAGAAGAGAGGGTGGGAGAGGAGAGGGTTAAACCTGGGAGGAGGGAGCTGGTAGGGAGAAGCAGGGAGAAGAAGGGGGATGGGAAGATCAGGGCTCAGGGTTGGGGGTCTCGCCGGACCAACTTGATTTTCATGCGAACTTGCTCCTGGGTTCGCAGGTGGACTTTGGTGGCCAGGCTGGCAGCTATCATGCCCTAGATGGCCATGTTCCCCTATCTAGTGCAGAGATCATGGATGTTGGGGGCATCCCCCCCAAACCTGAATAAGATCCATGATCTCCACCCTGGACCAGGGGTGGCTGCCAGTGATTTGCTGGCTCATGTTTTGAGGCCACTGGGTCAGGGGCTGTGACTGCTGGATCTGAGCTGGCAGACATGGAACCGGCATGGGCTCCAGGGAGGGGGAAGGGAGAAGAGTGTTCTTGGTCGAGGCTGGAGTGGCCACCAAGGCACACTGGGAAGGCTGGAGGGCCCCTATTTCGATATAAGTGTCTACACATCACTTATTTTGAAATAGCTATTTCGAATTTGGCGTTATTCTCCGTGGAATGAGGTTTACAAAATTTGAAATAAGTGCTGCACTATTTTGAATTAATTTTGAAATAGGGGTTTGGCTTTGTAGAAGCTAGTAAAGTTATTTTGAAATAACGGTTGTTATTTGGAAATAACTTTGCTGTGTAGACATACCTTCAGCTAAAATTTCTAAACAAATCAGTGGACAAAATTACAACAATAGTCACTAATAGAATTCATTGTGATTACTGATGTTCCATTTTCCAATAGTCATCCTAATAATAGCGTTAGTGGGAGGGATGATTTATGTAAAAAGTAACAGTTATTTTGAGGATTTAAAAGAGAAAATATGACAATCTATCTCCTCCCCCACTCCAAAAATAAATAATGGAAAGGAGGGAGACTGGCCCTTTGCTTATCACCATTTGTGATGAAATAGCATAAATATACTGTCTCTTTTATGGCCCTTAACATTTTGTTTTCTTTCTTTTTTTCCTAGTCATAGTACCGCTAGAGCTCTATTTTCCAGATATCAGCCAGATGACTCAAACCAAGCATCATGACCAGTTGCTATCATTGAGAGAAGCCTTCTGGGGACAGAGACATTGATTCTTTATCCAGAAAAATTACAATTCCAGTTACAGAACAAGTCATTTAGTTTCTGGGATGTAAAGTCTGTAGAAAAAATTAATTGTCAAGGTTAAGAAGTTGGCAGGTACCTTTAATTCACTGAAACATAGAATTTAAGTGATATAATCTTATGACAGGAATTGGTTAGTCGGAAATTATATGGACTATACATGACAACTGATTTTATTCTGTAGCCAGAGTAAGTGTCTTTTTGTCTTCCACTTTTCACTCGGTATCTCTAATACTTTTTCCATTTCTGTTTAGAATAATGTCAATGAAAAGTATGTATTACACAGGCATGAAATTTAAAGTATTAAACTGGTATGGATATATTTGTTGAGTGATTTAGAAAAAAAAGTATTTTTCTTTGGGGATGTGAATCTTTGGAGACTTTCCTGATATTGCCTTCATTGGTGAATCAAGTCTTCCTTTAATATCATCAGACTTACGTATGCATATTTTAGAAAAGGGGATAGAGCATCCATTCACATGCTCTATGCATTCTTGACATAAAAAAAACCAGATAAGTAATATTTTATTTTTGCCCATATATAATCAAAATGCAGCAAGTTTTCTTGCATAGAAACCAGGTTACTCAAAATCTCAAATCATCTTTAGAACCTTATCTTTCTGGACACATCAATAGGGTCCAAAATATTGCTATTCAATAAAGGGGAGAGGAAGAAAAAGAGCTGAAGTTTCAGTGAATTAGTATGTTTGCATTCAAATAAATTTATAGGTATAAACCTTCAAATACTTAGTTCTAGCATATCTGCTAATGCTATTCCTCTCATGCACTACCACTCAGTAGAGATGTGTTAAGCAGACTCTCCTCTTTGACCGGGGAAACTCTGGGCAGTTCAGTGAACAATGTGCATATGAGGCATTCCATTATAATTCACTCAACATAGTTTCTCATTTTGGTTCATCAAGATTTTAGGTATCTCTTTTTACATCAGAGAACTGGAAAATGTGAAAGTTAACCAGATCATTAAGGATACATTCTATGCAATTACCTCAGTGGTGGGATTTTTGGAAAGTAATTTAAATAAGAGAAATTTGCTAACTTATTTGATATTTAACATGTGTTGTTTCCTGCCTCCTCTGCACCCATCTCACACACATGCACTTACCCTATCACAGCATTACATTTTGAAAGCATTGAAATTGCAGTGCATTCTCAATTTGTCATATCAGCATATGCCTGTTCCACCTCAAGAGCACATTTTCATAGTGTGCTGACAGTTGAGAACTATCCTTTTTCTTAATGTTCCTCAAACGTCATTCCGTATCATTTCCCTACCGCTGCCTACTCTATTTACATTGTCAGCTTCTTGATTGGTAGGTTGTTCATAATATAATCAATCCATAAAGTTCAGAGATTAGCAACACATTACATGTCAAAGGGTGTCTATAAAATATAAAGACATGTAGAAATATTCCAGTATTTCATTATTGCATTTTTCATTCATGCATCATTCACTTCTCATCTGAGATTTTTAAAAGGATTCTTTCTTAGGTCCCAATCCTGCATATATGCACATACCTCACTTTAAATATTCGAGAAGTCCCACTGATTTCACATGGGACAGGAGACAGATAATTTATAGTGAGCTGATTGAAACTTTATTGGGGTATATATGTGTTTGTGTGTGTGTGAGAGAGAGACTGAGTATTCTGTTCAAATCAAATCTGCAAAGTAAGTCAGGTTCAAAAAAAATTCCCAGTATGGGGATGGAAAATTGAGAAAAAGAAATGAAGTTATTAAAAAGAAACCTTACAATGTTTTCAAAAAAGAAAATAGCTCACTAATTTAAATTAAATAAACACTGACTAAACATTTTGCAATCCATATGAAATATTTAGATTGTCCTGAAATGAAAATAAAAAAAAGTTTTCATTCAGATATATTTTTTAATTTTTCATTCCAGTTCAGACCAGGGGAAAATTTTGAATTCAATATTCATAGGATGGGAAAACCATTTCCCATCCAGCTCTATTCAGTTACCATGGAGTCTAATTGAAGAAGACTCAGAGGGAAAGAAAAATTAAAAATGATAATTATAGCAAACTCTTATACATAAAAATTTCAGTGTTTTATAGTCTGATGTCATACCTGCTAATTCTGGAATCTGCTGCTGTGTCTCTTATTGGGAATCTTCCTTTTCCAGTCAAAGAATGTTCTTGGGCTTTTTAGTCCTGCAAGATCACAAGCTATCAAACATTAATGTAACATTCATCAATGAAAAAGTAGGTCTCTGTCCCAGCTCATACTTTTGCCTTTCCTAGGCCTCCAGCCAATGTAGGCAGAGGGCAGGTAGACTACTCAGAGGCACATGATAAATGAGCATGTCCAATAGATTATAATACAAATTAATTACTGTATAGAATATCATTAAGATTGTCAAAATATCATGATAAATAAATTCAATTTATCACATGAATCTCACCTATATGTGTGAAGGAGGAGAGGGGCTGAGAAGGGTAGCCAGATATTCTCAGACTATTACCATTAACCTCAGCATTTGTTAGCAGTTATTACCAAATGTAATCTGAGATCTTGAAGTATGAGCTATTCTAAGAACATAGAACTATTATTTCATAATGTCTGAATTACTGCAGATAACTACAAGTGAACACTGATTATACATCAAGTACTCATAACATGTGCAGTGCTAACTGCTGACCGGAACGGCAAAATGCTGAGTATGTGCCCTACCCATTGAAGCCAATGGGAGCTCTAAACCCTTGTTACCATACAGTATTTAGCCCTCATTCTAGTCACCCAGAAAACACAACAGAATTTTGGCAAATGCAGAAAAGAAAATGAAGGAAACAGTTTTGATTTGTGAGGTGTCATAAGTTCTTTTTGTATCATCTAAGGATATGTTCTGTCTTGGGAAGACATGTTATTTGCTGTGAATTTTGGATTATGCAAATGTCCAAGGGGTGGGAGCTGAAAGACTGCATGAGCAGCAAGAGGTTTTGCACTTTGCCCTGGAATTTTAGGAAAGACTTGTTCCTGGGAACTGGCCATTAATGTTGGGATGAGAATCTTGGAAGAAATGATTGCCCTGCAAACTCTTTATGACAACCTGTGTTAAAGGAATCGTCTGTGTCAATAAATCAAGTTCCAAGTAGAATGAAACCAGACTTTGTCACTGATTCTTCCTCCATCAGGAAGCCAACAAGCAAGCTCTCAGACATCTAGTACTGCTCACAGGGCGGTTGTGGAGAGGACAATACAATAATATATCCAGGGAAAATTGTTCAATTGTCTGAACATTACAAGGTGTTTGCTCCTACTGGGGTCCAGGAGTTGGGCAGGTGTAAGCCCACCCACATCTAAAGGACCCTCCCCAGCCTACAGGGAGAATCCACAGAGCCCTGAACTCCAAGGCTACACTGCACTGCGCTTCCGGAAAAAGCTACACAAATTGCAAACCACAATTTGCATAACTTTTTCCACTTTTTTTTTAAAGCAACTTTTCCAACATTTGGCCCGTCTACACTGGGCCAAATGTAAATCTTTTTTGGAACATCCCTTCTTCCTCATAAAATAAGGTTTACAGGGATGCTGAAAAAGCACAACTGCTGTTCTGAAAAAAATTTAGGAAGAGCAGATGCATTCCTTGGACACAGCAGAGTTTTTCTGGGATACCTCTGGTATTGTGGGAAAACTCTGCAGTGTAGACATAGCTCAAATTATTACAGAGGACAAATCAAAGGATAAACAGGGACAGGTGTGAAGGTCAAAGGGCTAAAATGAGGAAACCAGATGGGATACCAAACAGAGAGCTCTGGACAGTGCCCACTGCCCCTTAAAGGCATTGAGAGAGCCAGCGGACACCACCCAGTGGAACTCTGCCCAGATACATGAGCTGATACAGGAGTGAAAATAGGTTCCACAGTTGCAGCCCCTCCCTCATCCAACCTCTGCTCCCTGGTTTTATAAATAGCCATCTTAGCTACAGAGTGTTTGCTAATAAGGGTGAGAATTACTTTTAAATAACGATGTCTGTGTCCCTGCAGAAATCATTACACATGTTATGAATTGTAGATTTGAAGATTCAATATCTAGAAGGGACAACTGTGATCATCTAGTCAGACCTCTTGTATAACAGAACTGCCCTCAAATAATTCCTTCAATATATCTTGATTTGAAAATGGAGAGTGATAGAGAATCCTTCTTGACTTTAGGTGAATTGTTTCAACGAGTAATTGCCCTCACTGTTGAAAGTTTCCACTTCTTTCCAGTCTGAATTTCTCTATGTTCAACTTCCATCCCCTTGGATTTGTCTGCTAGACTGAATAACTCATCATTAAATATTTGTTCCTAATTTAGCTACCTATAGATTACATTAAGTCACCCCTTAACCTTCCTCTTTGTTCAACTGAATTGAGCCCCTTGACTCCAAGGCATGTTTTCTAATCCTTGTTTCATTCACTTGGCTTTTCTCTGAACACTCTCTAAGGGTATGTCTACACTACCCCGCTAGTTCGAACTAGCGGGGTAATGTAGGCATACCGCACTTGCAAATGAAGCCCGGGATTTGAATTTCCCGGGCTTCATTTGCATAAGCGGGGCGCCGCCATTTTTAAAACCCCGCTCGTTCGAACCCCGTGCAGCGCGGCTACACGGGGCACGAACTAGGTAGTTCGAACTAGGCTTCCTAATTACTCCTTGTGAAATTCAAATCCCGGGCTTCATTTGCAAGTGCGGTATGCCTACATTACCCTCCTAGTTCGAACTAGGAGGGTAGTGTAGACATACCCTAAAGTACTCCACATCTGTCTTGAATGACTGGAACTAGTGTAGGACACAGTATTCTAGCTATTGTCACACCAGTGCCAAAATACAGAGGTAAAATAATATCGTATGCTTACTGGAGACTCCTGTTTATCTCAGAATTGCATTGGCGATAACAAGTCTTGTGCATAAGGGAGAAGTGGTGGATGTGATATATATAGACTTTAATAAGGCATTTGATATGGTCTCGCATTATCTTCTTATCAATAAACTAGGAAAATACAACTTAGATGGGGTAGATAACCATTCTCAGAGTGTAGTTATTAACAGTTCATAGTCATGCTGGAAGGGCATAACAAGTGGGGTTCTGCAAGTGAGGTCTGTTCAGTATCTTCAGCGACGATTTAGATGATGGCATATTGAGAGTACGCTTATTAAGTTTGCAGATGATACGAAGCTAAGAGGGGTTTCAACTGCTTTGAGGGATAAGATCATAATTCAAAATGATCTGGACAAATTGCAGAAATGGTCTAAGGCAAAATTGGATGAAGTTTCCTAAGGACAAATGCAAAGTACTCCAATTAGGAAGGAACAATCAATTTCACACATGCAGAATGGGAAGTGATTTTCTAGGAAGAAGTACTGGACAAAAGGATCTAGGGGTCATAGTCAACCACAAGCTAAATATGAGTCAACAGTGTGACACTGTTGCAAAAAAAGCAAACATGATTCTGGGATGCATTAATAAGAGTGTTGTAAGACACAAGAAGTAATTCTTCTACTCTACTCTGCATTGATTAGGCTGCAACTGAAGTATTGTGTCCATTTCTGGGCAGCACATTTCAAGAAAGATGTGGAGAAATTGGATAAGGTTCAGAGAAGAGCAACAAGAATGGTTAAAGGTCTAGAAAACATGAGCTATGAGGCAAGGCTGAAGGAAATGGGCTTTTTTAGTTTGGAAAAGAGAAGGCTGAGCGGGAACATGAGAGCAGTTTTCAGGTATCTAAAAGGGTGTCACAGGCAGGAGGAGGTTAAGTTGTTCTACTTGGCCTCTGAGGATAGTACAAGAAGAAATGGGCTTAACCTGCAACAAGGGAGGTTTAGGTCAGACATTAGGGAAAAACTTCCTAATGGTCAGGGTGGTTAAACAGTGGAATAAATTTCCTTGGGACGTTGTGGAATGTCCAGCACTGAAGATATTTAAGATCAGGTTAGATAGACATCTATCAGGGATGCCAGACACTGTAACTGGTCCCGCCATAAGGGCAGGGAACTGGACTGGATGACCTCTCAAGGTCCCTTCCAGTTCTAGTGTTCTATGATTCTATGATTTTGACCACAGCATCACACTGTCCATGTATGTTCAGCTGATTATCCGCTATGCTCTAAGCCAATTTTTTCCAAAACCACTTCTTCCCAAGATAGAGTCTCTTTGTTCCTAAATGTATACATTTAACTGTATTAAAAACTGGATACAGTTGTTTGCTTGCACCCAGTTCACCTAGTGATCTACATTGCTGATCTGTCCTCTTCATTATTTACCATTCCCACAAATTAGAGGGAGGGAAAATCTGAAATTTTATCAGTGGTGATTTTATTCAGTCTTTCAGGTTGAGTAGCATTGAATAGCATAGCCCTCAAAACAAATCCCCGCAGGATCCTATTGGAAATACTGATAATTTCCTATTTCTCATTTACTTTTTGAGACTTATCAAAAAGCTGTCTTTTAATCCACTTAATGTACACCATATTAATTGTCCTAGGGTTGCTTGTAAGAAAAATCATCATGCAAGAGCAGGTCAAATGTCCTAAAGAAATATCAAATTATTACATGAGCAATATTTCGTTTATCAACTAACCTCATAATTTCATCAAAACAAGATATCAAGTTAGATATGGAAGTTTCTTGAAATATCATTTGGAGTCCTTATTGAATTAAGTTGAGTTATCTTTGGGTTCCATTGTATTAAGTATAATGCTTATTTATTATTGTGGGCTGGGATTTTATGTATCCTTTCCCCATAGAGATGTTATGTGAGGTCTGGGCATTCAAAGGACTCTATTAAAGGCTAACATTGCATAAGAAACAGCTGAACTGCCAAACCGGGGTTCTAGTTTTGAATCTGAGACAGTTACAACTCATAACTAGGAGTGTAAAGGAAAAATGCCTACCAGCCTACGAAGCTGGAGGCAAACTCTGGTAATGTTTTTAGCATGTTTATTACTTTTAAATGTGTGCTTTCTGTGGTACTTTCACCTTAAGAATAAAATGTGCTTGTTTAGAAAGTGCTGTGCAGTGACTTAGAACTCTTGGCAGTGTTCCCTCTAGGCTGTGTGCTTGTGCAGCTGCTTAGTTGAATTTCAAACGATGAATGTCAGAGCGCCCACAGCTAGGCTTTGTGTTTCTATGGATAGTGCACATTCTTAAATGCTTTGGTGAACATAAAAAAAAAATATTCCACACATGGATGGAAAAAAATAGAGGGAACATTGCCTGTGGGCAGAGACTCTGCAGAGAAATCCAAGCACAAACACCAGCCTCTTGTGTATGTGTGTGTGTGTATATATATATCTATATATATATATATATGGGTATATCAATGTCGACAGTGGTCTGTACTGTTTTAAAGATCCCATGGTCAGAGAGGAGTGAAGCTCAACTCTCCTCTCAAGCTGGGAGTCAGAAGCCTAGAGTGGGTGCCCTTGGTGAATCAACAAATGCACATACAGGGTATATCTACATTTCACACTTATTTCGGAATAAGTTATTCCAGAAGAAATACTCCAAAATAGCTAATTTCAAAATAGCGTGTCTACACTACAGGGAAGCCTCAAAATTAGTCTGAGGCAGGCTTCTCTAATGTGAATGTGCTACCTCGATTTAGAGCCCCAGGATGCATTAGGGAGTGATTACTCTGAATGGCCTTGGAGAGCAGCTATTTCAAAATATAAATTTTGGAAGCAGCATTATTCCTCATGGAATGAGCTTTACAGAAGTCAGAATAAGCCATGTGTTACTTCAAAATAATGGAATTGCTATGGAGATGCTCTCATTTTTATTTCAAAATAACAGCCATTATTCCAAAATGATGCTGCTGTATAGATACACCCACAGAGAAATATGTATTAAAGCATTTTAGAATATCTGAACTTAGGTTTTAAACTTTCAGAAAGTTGCTTAACTTGTCCATCACAGGATAATTATAAAAATGAGTGGAATTATAACAACTTATTTTCTAATGTGAGAGATAATACTGGACCTTGACATTGTGTGGATGGTCAGCATTCCATTTAAAATCATGCTAATAAGTATTATTCTATGACTAAGATAAAGTCTAACTCTAATAGACATGAGCTTTCTCCACCGTAAAAACGTAGTTACTGGATATTTTATGATCTAATTGTCAACAAGTTCTCTCATCCCCTCCCTTTTTTGGAGTGCTGTATTTTTGGGTGCAAAATGTAAGACAAGAACCTTTGTTTCTGCTTTTTCTAGAGCATCAAAGCCACCTCCTCTCCCTTCCTTCTCCTCCCCCACCCCACCTAAGAAGCCAAAAGGAAGACAGGGGAAATTAAAACAGAATTACATTTTCCCAGTGAGCTTGGCAAAAAGTCCTTTCTGGGACACTGTGGGCCTGTCTTCATGATATTTACCAAAGTAAGGTCAACAGATTCATATGTTTCCTGCTGGGCTAGGCTCCATTTCAGTAAAGCACTTGCACACATCCTTTGAGTAAACATTGAGTAGTCCCACTGAAGTCCGTGTGTTTAAGTGTTTTGCATTATCAAGAACTTCATTTGGAAGCACTGTTGCCAGACATAACAAATTCTTAACTTCTACTAGCAGAGATGCTGGTACAATTTGTATAGTGGGGATGCTAAGAGACATCGAACCAAACTGTAGACTCTGTATATAATGGAAACCACTCCAAGCCTGAGAGAACAGAACCCCCAGCAATGATAATATGATCATCTATATCTACTAGTTCTGGACACAACACTGCACTAGATACAGATGTAACAGGATTTATTCTCATTGGGGCTTGCACCACAGTTCTGTTCTGTCTCTGATTTTAAAGGCTCTTGCAGAGAACTGGGTAAGTTACTGCTTTTTACCATTTGGAGCTCACACAGAAAATTCAGTTTGGTGGTTTAAAAAAATAAGTTTTATTTTGGCAAGAAAACAACAAAAAATAAATGTTAACAAAAAGACAAAATCATTTGGGACTGAATGCAGCTGTTTGATCCAAAACAAGTGATTTCCCCTCCCAATATACCACCTTTTTAAAATTTTGAAATGCCAGAGTGAACCATTTGGACTTTAAAAAATGCAAAAATAAAACAAAACTAACAAACAAAAAAACAGTTGCCCCGGCACTTGTCCTGAACAATGAACTTCAGAAACACTTAACTTTAAGCAAGTTACTAGTCCAACTGACTTCAATGACACCCACACTTGTGTAAAGTTAAACACATACTCACAGGCTTTGCGAAATCATAGCATCATCAAAATATAGGGCATAGGGTGACCTCAAGAGGTCATCTAGTCTAGCTTGCTGCACAGAGGCAGGACTAAATATATCTAAATCATCCCTGGCAAGTGTCTGTCCAACCTGCCCTTCAAAACCTTCAGCGACGGGATTCCACAGCCTCCCTTCGAAAAGCCTATCCCAGTGCTTAGCTACCATGTATATCGTCAGGAAATTTTTCTAATATCTAACCTAAATCTACTTTACTGGTAATTAAGACCATTATTTCTTGTTCTACCTTCATTGAACATGGAGAACAACAGATTACCATCCTCTTTATAAATTCCTCATAAAATTTTTGAAAGCTTATCTGCTTCTCCCTCTCCAGTCTTCTTGTGGCTAAATATGCCCTTTCTATACATCTTTCCTCATAGGTCAGGTTTTCTAAACCCTTCATCATTTTTGTAGCATTCCTCTGGGTGCTCTTCAATTTGTACACATCTTTCCTTAGATATGAAATCCAGAAATGGAAGCAACACTCCAGCTGAGACTTCACCACTCCTGAGTAGAGCAGAATAATTACTTTCTGTGTCTTACATATGATACTCCTATTAGCATGCCTCAGAATATCAGCTCTTTTTCACAAGTGTGTCACAGTGTTAACTCATATTCAGTTTGTGATCCACTATCACATCACAATCTGGACAAGTTATTCCCATTTGACTTGTATGCATTTGACTTTTCTTCTCAAGTGAAGTACTTATCTTTATTGAATTTCATCTTGTTGATTTCAGACCAACTCTCCAATATGTCAGAGTCATTTTGAATTCTAATCCTATCCTCCAAAATATTTGCACATCCAATCAGATTCATGTCATCAAATATTATAAGACTTCTATCCACAATATTATATAGGTCACTTATTAAATTAACTAATGCTGTACCTAGAACAGTCACCTGCAGGATCCCACTAGATACATCCCTGTGAAATTCCATTCTAAGGAATGAATCAGGACAGATGGACAACTGTGTATCCTCAAATCTCCAATCTGGGGTGCCTTTTACACTGTTTTACTTTGAGAACCATTCCTGGTCAGTTTGCAAACAACCTCTAGCATGCAAAATCACTCCCAGCTGAATTACACGAATGTTCTGTCAGTCACTCATGAATTATATACAAGGCATTAGAAGCAAACTCCTAGATCTTCTCCCCAGAAATGAAAATCTTGTATTGCCCAGCTGTCTCCTGGACAATAGAAAGCTCATACAATGTCCATCATTTCATCAATGAAAAGTAACAGGAACAAACCTTGTCATGTTAAGTGGAGGTTTCCAAAAATTTCCATCCAAACACACTGGTTTAGATAAAACAAGTTTATTAACTCGAGAAAATTAGATTTTTAAGTAATAAGTAGGAAGGTATAAAAGCCAGAATTGGTTGGAAAAAAATAAATAAAACAAACTAATACCTAACCTAGCAAACTGAAATGTGTTTAAAACAAAAGTTTCTCACCACCTGCTCTTTATAATCTTTACTCCAAGACATGACCCCTCCTCCAGTTCAGTGGTTCTTCAGTCACTGTTGCTGCCATGAGAAGAAGAAAGTGGAGTAGAGAGGTAATTTGTGCTGATTGTGTTCTCTTTTCTTATACCATTGTTTCCTCTTTAAGTACCAATTCTAGCTGGGGTTTAGGTGACAGCCAGTCTGTTAATACAAGAACTCCCAGCAATTTCCCATTGCTAATATGTACAATTTCTCCTTTACCCCCTACATCCTGCCAAAGAATGGCTGTTTAACTAGGCATTGGTCATATAGTTTTTGTTGATGCCTGGCTGAGGTGTTGATTTATCTTTTGTTTCTGAGGAACTGGCCTATGCCTGCTTTTCTAAACTTGGAGCATGTTACAGCAATGTCATACAGCAGAATCATATAACTTCATATGATGTTCTGGAAGCCAGCTATACATACGGAAATTAACTCACAAATGCAATAATCACAAAGAGAAACAATGATCCCAAAAATTTCATCATGATAGCAATATTAGTAGGAATCATGGTGTAGGAAGCTGCCAGCAAGATGAAATTGTGAGTGGTGAAGTGATCTAAGGTATATCTACACTGCACCATTATTTCGAAATAACAATGCCAGCGTCTACACAGCCATTCTGGTATTTCGAAATAATTTTGAAATAACGGATGGCTTATTTGGAAATCTGTAAGCCTCATTCTATGAGGAATAATGTCTATTCTGAAATAGCTATTTCAAAATAAGGTATGTATAGATGCTCCACTTCTGCTATTTCGAACTAGCCCGTCACCAGGGTCATTCTAAGTTATTCCTCCCCAGTGCCTCCTGGGGCTCTAACTCGAGATATCAAGTCTATATTAGGGAAGTCTGCCATTAGGGACTAATTTTGAGGCTTTCTTGAAGTGTAGACATTCTATTTCGAAATAAGCTATTTTGGAATAACTATTCTGGAATAGCTTATTTCAAAATAAGCATGCAGTGTAGATGTACCCTAAGACTAGATAATCATTACCTGAAGTTTTATTTTTAATACACTTTGTATGGATAATAGAAGTGAACAATCTTCTATCAGATTCTATTATTGCAAAAGGCATGTCTCCTATTTCAACTCATGCTAAAAAAAGAAATTGGAATACACTACCTGTCATTACACTCAAGAGCAACAGTTTTAACCATCTCCCATCTCATAATATAGAACCAGATTCTTATTTAGTATAAAGTCAGAATAACACTGTTGACTTCAGTGGAGCTATATTAATGTACACCATCTGGGACTCTGGACCACAGCTTCGGTCTATCACACCCCGCTCTCTGCAGTTGAGGATCTGCAGCTTTAATATGCTCTTACCACTTTGTTTGTATGGAAGAATATCAATGGCACCTCCCTAAGCAAGGAAAAAGACTGAATTTCCCCATAAGATTTATTTTTGCTACAGAATATTGGTGGATTTTCATATTGCTCTTAGACAATTTGACAGAACAACGCAAGAATATATTTGCATTTGTTGATACTAGTCATTTTAAGAGCAGCACTGAAGTCTAAGATGTGTAAGTACTATTAAAATAATGTAATACTGTGATATGACAGGTAGCAGCAGAATTTATATATCTTGCTAGATGTGTGTTTAGCTAACAGTGATGTCTTATGACTACAGATTAGGGTCCCAATTTTTGTTCAATACTGCACAGGGTATGGCTTCGCTACAAAGTTTTGTCGGAAAAACGGCCGTTTTTCTGATAAAACCTGCATTATGTCCACACTGCAATCACGTTCTTCTGAAAGTAAATCAAAAGGACAGAGGGATTTTTCCAGCATTGGTACTCTTCTTCTTCGAGGAAGAAGCCTTTTTCCAAAAGAGCTCTTTCAGAAAAAGGCATGTGCGGATGGGGAGGAGGTTTTTTTTTTTTTTTAAAAAAAAGAAGAGGCCTCCAGGAAATAACAGAGGTGGCCACTACATCCAAATTAATCAGGACTGTATAATTCCTGTCTCCTGGTCCCTCTTAAAGCTGCAGGCAGCCTGGACAAGTTTTGTGGCAGGAAGCCAGCTTGAGAGCAGCACCTCACCAGACAGCTCTCCCTGCCACAGGCCTTGCCACTCATGGCCCAGCCTCAAGACCCCCGCAACCCTTTTGGCCCTCACAGGAAGCAGCCCTAGGGGTACCAGGACCCACCCAGGGGGACCAAGAGGTGGGCACCCTCCTGGTCTGGAGTGGAGATCCTGTCCCTCCTCAAGCTGTGGGGCGAGGAGGACACCTTGCAGGATCTCCGCTCTAAGCGCTGTAATGCCGAGATATTAGGGCACATGGCCGAGTCCCTGGTGGAACGTAGATACCCACTCTGGACTTGGAACAGGTCCAGAGTAAGGTCAAGGAGCTTCACCAGGGATATGTCTGGGCCAGAGAGTGCAGCTCACGCTCAGGGGCAGGACCCCACATCTGCCCCTACTTCAGCGAGCTGCACAAATCCTCGGGGGGGTGGAGAAACGTCTTCCCCACCCATCATGTTGGACTCCAGCCTCCAGACCCCTGTCATCACCAGGGCAGAGGTCACAGCGGAGAAGGAGCAGGAGGAGCAGGGCCAACCAGAGGAGGAGAAGGAGGAGACAGAGACCATGGCCCTGTCCCTGGAACTGGTGCCTGTGAGCCAGGATGTCTCCCATGCCTCGTCGGATGCCAGGGAGGGATCTTCAGGTGGGCGGTCTTAGTTTGTCACACACACAGGGTGCGGGAGGTTGTGCACAGGGGGCAGGGTGTGAGTGTCACTCAGGTTGCTCGGGCTGGACATCGTGCTGCGGTCCGCGCATGTGGAACCACGTGCAGTGTTTTCTGTGCACCACGCGGACTCAGCAAGCAGCCCCAGAGCATGGGTGGGATCCAGCTGCCAGGCTCAGGGGAAGCCACACACGTCCTGCCATGGGAGGGGGGGCCCTCCAGCACCTGCCATGTCTGGAAGCAGGCTAGCCATAAGGGCACAGGCATGACCCCAGGCACATGGAGGCACAGCACACGGGCATGCCTGTACATGCGAGGTACCACCCACTCCCACAGGCAGTGCTGCGAGCCACAGGGGTATGTGTGGATGCGAGGGTGGGCCATGCTGTTCCTTGCTCCTCTACGACCAGTGAAGGAATCCCACTGTGGCCGGATACTTCCCTTGCCTGCTTCTCCATGGGGTGGGGAGTTGGGAAGCGGGAAGCATGGTCCCCTGGCCACCTCGGGGCCCCTGTGAGGCAGGGCCCTCTGTGTAGGCCACGCATGGCCTTGCTCCTGGGACATCCACCATCTCTGCCCCAAGGACTGTTGGTCACTGCTCACAGAGGAGGGCACAGCTGCAGGGACAGTGTCTGCATGGATGACTGACCGCCTCTGCCTCTTTGTGTTTTCCACAGCCGGACCAGCTGGGACTGAGGGACAAGCCACACCACCCGTGCCAGCTGCCAAAGCCCAGGGGACCCGAAGGTGCCAGGGTTCTGGAAGACCTCATGTACCAGCATGTCAGCGTCCTGCGCGACGTGCAGCAGACCCTGGTGCAGAAGGTCCGTGAGGACTCTGAGTGGCGGAACCACACATGGGATCAGCTCATATAGAGGTTTGATAACATGTGTACCATCATGTCACTGCTGTAGCTGCTCCTGGCTTCCACTCTTCTTCCTCCCTGCTATGCCCATTCCCCCTTCACCTGTCCCCCATACAACACCTCTACTCCCTCCCCAGGTGATCCCCCCTCCCTCTGCTCCCTGCCACCTTTGACCCCGCTCCCTGTGGTCCCTGGACCCACCCAGCCCCAACTCCTTCCCTATGACTGTGAAAAATGGAAGTACAGATGCTATTCTTGACCCATATTATCTCTAGTTTTTATTTAAGAACTCACTTGACAGTCTTTGGTGAACAAGCACGAAGATGATCCTGTAAGCATCTTGCCAATTGGCACTGAGAGATTCATACCTCAGTTTTTATGTTTTATTTTTAGAATGTGACATTGTGGCTTTCCGCATGTGTGTATGAGCACCCATAATGTCCACATGTGGAAGGATCCAGAAAGAAGAGTATTCCAGGTTTAATCATCATTTTAAAACTCTTCACTACAGTGTGCCCTGTATTCTGTGCTTAAAAGTCCAAGAAACTTGAAATGGTCATCCTTAATTTCTGGTAAACAAGAATTGCCAAATTTCTGCATATCAGGAGTGTTTCATGATTGTCTGGATTATATGTTGTTGGAGAGAGAGGAAAGTGTTTGCCACCACACAAGATCAGAATTCTAAGAAAACTTTATAATGGGTTCTGAGGTAGGAGGTTCAGACAACAAATAATTTTGTTTCAATTAGGATGTTTAAACAGTTCTGGGGTCTAGATTTTATTGACTGTTAAAATTCTTCACTTGGGATTTAGAAGCAGTCAAACATCATTTCAGAACCTTCTTAGGATTTACAAGGATTGACTATATTTAGTTTTAATTGGTGATTTTACTTTTTTGATAATTTAATTCCAGTCCATTACTGAACCTAACTTGTAGATTTGCTTTTGATTTGATAGCTGTATTGCTATATTCACAGTTTAATTTAGTAGTATTAATAGAATCTTAGTCCAGTGATATGTTTTCTTGTATTTCTTGTGGCTTCGTTACATTTATAGCACAGAGATGGAGTCATATTTCCTTCAAAAAGCAACATGAGTCTAGAAACTTTGAGGACATATGAGGACATCAGCCAGTAAAATGGAAAGCTTCAGTCACTTCACCCAATTAGCTTTGATTCTAACAAAAATGTGTGGTTTTTTACACTTGAATTCACATGCAAAGAAGTGGTGTCCCACTATCTGTACTGTGTATAGAGAGAGATTTTCACACCCTATGTTGGAATGCTCAACCCCTGTTCATAATGTTTTGGTCAACATATCTAGGAGCAGACAATACCAAGTGATTTCCATAGGAAACAAATCACAAACCATGAGTCATGATTAGGGAAAACTCAAAAGCCTTTTCTACACATATACAGTTTTTGTACCAATCTAACTGTATGTGATTTTACACCAGACAGTTAAATCACAAAAACTTTGTATAGATCAAACCAAAGGGAGTTGATGCATGCTCTTTTTAACCAACACAAGGTAAATATACACTCAACTTTTATATCTGCATTAATGAATTATTATTAATAAAATAATAATACAATAATAATAATAGTAATACTTTGCAAATAGAACAGTGATGTGAAATCAATTAAATAGCTTGCTACAAAAAATTTGCTCTGCTCTAGTTTCTACAACAGATTCTCAATAATGACATAGAAGTTGCAGGTTTATTGAAGAATTACCAATCTAGTTTATGGATTTATTTCCATTGTAGCTGAACTGCAAACAAAAGCTGGATACCAAGAAGAAAAACACGATTTGCCAGACACACACATCCTGAACATGTTTTTAAAAGCTTCAGATAGTGTCATCTGCCCTTTTAATGGCTTAGTAGTCTTACAAGTATCACTTAACATAGTGATATTTGTTTGAGTAAACACACATGCACAGAGAACACTTTCCCTCATGTATATTAGAATGTATTGTAAGCTAAGTCTCCCCCCTCCTCATTTTGACAAAATTATCTTTTTCCACAAAAAGGGGGTTGCTTTTTACAGACAATTTCAATACATTCTCTCTCCCTTGAACACCATAATGAAAACCAAGAAATTGTGAATTTCTGTTCAACAATTGCAACATTTTGTCCTCATTTTGAGTATCTTTTTTCCTATACTTTGTCGGACAAGGCAAATTTCAGAAAAAAACCCTCTTTCGAAAGCCTCCTCCTTCCAGAGGCTTAAGGAAGAGAGTGTTTGCGCTTCCGCAAAAAACGTGGAAGAGCAAACGCATTCCCTGGATGTGGCAGAGGTTTTTTGGGATACCTCTGGTACCCCAAAACCCCCCTGCAGTCTAGCTGTATCCCCAGAGAAAGTCACATGGTGAGAAGCTGGGGGTTGCACAGCACGCTGTGGTAGGGCTACGAGTGGTGGAGTTGCCAAAAACCACATGCCACTGGAAGCCAGCTTGGCTGCCTGCCGGCAAGGCTCCAATGGAGTATCCTATTCAGTCTGCAGAGGGAAGGGGGCAGGAGGCTGTTGCTGCTGCACCATGCCAGGGAGCAATGGCAGTGCACGGAGGCATTTCTTCGTTGCTTCTTCCCCGCAAGCCGATGTTCTCATCAAGTAGCGAAGTGTCCAGCAGGGCTTTCCAGGACGTTTCATTACTTGATGGGAACACCAGGACAGAGTATTTAAAATCGGGCCAGTCCTGGAAAATGCAGGATGTATGGTCGACATAGACTGAACTGTGAGGCAGGTTGCTAAGATTCCAGTTTTTACATTTGCCTGGCACAGCATTCATGGGGATACTCCTCAAGAAAGCTATAATTGTCCATAATTTGGTTTTAATTTTATATTTGCTGTAAAGCCCAGTATGGCCACTGGATGAAGAATCACCTTTTAGATTTTAAATGTAAAACAGAAAAGAACTAAGAAAGGGGATTCTTGAAAAGAAAGGAGGTGAGATTGGAAAAAAGAGGGATCGTTGACTGCCCCTGAAAAGGTTGTCATCAAATAGGCATGTTTTGGACACATCACAATGGCAACTTTTCAAAATAGTAGAAATTTTTCCATATCTTCATATATAATTTGTGAAAAATTATTCATAATTTCAATGTGGAAAAAATCCAACCAGTTCTACTCACTGCCGTTTTCATAATACTGCACAGATATAATCTTAGCACTATAAAGAGTAAGGGGGGAGGGAGGATAATGTGTCTGTTAAGTTAGAAGGATACTAAAAATATAGAAGTGCAGTAATGGAATCATATTCTCTTTCTTCCTTGCCTTCCTACATCTGAGGTCCCTTTCCATAACCTAGTAGCAAAGTGGCTAGAGGGGACTGTCTATTACAAATCCTTACTGGTTTTACATAGCAGCCTTTCACCAAATTTCTCAGAAGTATCAAGGACCAGAACAGCCACTAAAGCAACATAGCTAATTCCTGTTTTGCCACATGGGAACTGTGATCATTCGAATTACATTATAATGCAGGGAATGATTCTAATCCTAATAAACTTTTAAGAGAAAGCCTGCAAAAGAGCATATTACATGACACTAACAAGGATATTGGGGAGAGGCTAATTTTATTCTATATTGCTCATACCTCTCAGCAACATAATTTTTTTAAACACAAGCCTTAAATCAATCATAAGTCTCTGAATCTTTCATAAGTGTCAAATGGTATGTTTCTAAGTGCTTAGGGGCCTGCAAAAGCCTATTAGGAGTAATAGTTTTACATCTTGCTACCCCTGTGTTTAGCAGGAGAGTGGTAAACCCCACCGTCTTCTCTCTCTTGTTTGCTGCTGCTTGAAAGCAAAAGCCATCACAGACTTTGCCATTCTCTGTGTGAATGAATGAGGTAATAAACAAACCTGAAGCAGTTAATTCGAAGAAGTAAAGGATCACTCAGTCACTGAGGAAGAGAAGGCTGAAAGGAAGTTGCAGGAAGTGGTGCAATGGTTGATGTTAATATACCTGGCCAGTTCCTGATCCAGGTGATCCCTGTGGTGGCTGATTTGTGCAAAGCAGATGCAAAACCAGTTTCATCAGCCACATGACATGCTTTCTAGTGCAGAAGGATCTCTTGGTGGCATGTGAGCCAAGGGAGTGATTGTAAAAGCCATCCCTTCCCAACTCCTACAAAGGAAAAGGAGGCTAGAGTCAGGGAGCCACTACATTCAGCCAAACCCTACCTCCCTTCAGGTTGTTGTCAGATGGTGCAATTTAGAGCAGCTTCACTGCTGCTCTGAATTACTTCTCAGGAATGAGCCAGCCCTAGAATTAGAGAGGAGCAAAGACTCATTACGAATACTTGTTCTCTATGCTCCCTGCCCCCCATCACTATGGTGTACCAGGCACAAGAGATATGGTCTGGCCATCAGTTTGGCACCGTCTGTATTGTCAAGAGTGCATTTTGACTCAAAAAAATGCCCTCACATTTACAGGACTAGCTGTATCTCTATCCCTTTTCTGGGCTCTGACAGCACCCATCTCAGTAGTGTAAGCTCTTGGCTTTACCTGCTTTTGGGCAGAATCTCACAGTCCTTCCACTCTTAGCCCAAGATCCACATACATTAACCATCTGCTTCTTTGCTGGGCTGTCTCATTTTGGAAGCTGGTGGCTAACACATCCAAGAAGGCTGTTGGTCAAACAAAGAATTGTTGTTTTAGCAGTAGGAACAAAGCATTGTGGGGGGGAAAGTATTTTTAGAATAAACCATAAATTAGCTTCATCTGACTTCAGCCTAACTACAAAAAAATAAATACTTCACTATATGCTTAATTTACTGGACCAGAAATTAGAGTCTAACAAATTTAGACCCCATAGAGCAGGGTTACTTAACACATAGCCCACTTACTCCTGCTTTCCTGGGGGAATAATTTTATTTTAAAATAGTTATTTTGGGAGTTATTATTTTGAATTTAATTATATCAAAATCATTTCCTAGTGTAGACATGCCCATATGTGTGAGCTATAGTTCACAATTCCTTTGACCCTCTAAATCATTGATTCCCAGACTTTTTGGTATACCCCCCCCCCCCCCCCCCCAAAAAAAAAAATAGCAGCAAAACTTGTTGGGGAAAAAAAGGAACTGACTGGACACAAAAACTTGATAGGGTGAGGGGGCAGGGTCGCCTCGCACCCTCCCCCCTAGAATTTCTTCACATACCTCCAGGAGAGTATGCCCCCCCGTTTGGGAACCCATGCTCTAAATCCATCTGCTACTTCTACTTTTTCTAGCCCCAGCATTTCTTAAGTATGTTCTTATGTAGTCGGGCAAAGCAGTGGTGGGCTGCATCAGGACTTGGATGTAAGACCTCTAAGGAAAACCCAGCTGCTGCAAGAAATGTTGCACATTTTTGTGCCCCTCTTCCTACAAAGTCCCTATTGAACCAGTGCCCCTTCATAGTTCTAGCAGTCAGAATGCTTGCTGCTGACGTTTGACTTCTGGGTGGTCACACAAAACTTGACCTCTTTGTACTTTCCACAAAAATAAGGATGTTAATTCTGTTATGTGGGAAAAAATTGGAATTTGGTCACACGAATTTCTTCAAAGTTCATAGAAAAGAGCTGGCTATATGTTTTACAAAACACTATTTTTCTGTTGTGAGTTAAAGTGACTTAGACCAAGTGATAATATAATTGAATTTGCAGTATATCAGGTTACACTTAGCACATTCTCCCTGTCACTGGAAAGAAGACCACCTGTTACGGATGGGTAATCTACATCAAAGTTTGTCCATGTTCACAAATGTTTTGACACTTGGTGGTGGGATTACAAAATAAGCACTTAGAAGGAATTTTTTTGAGGCAGGTGAATCCTTTGTTCTTTTTCTCAGCCAAGTTAAGAGGGATGCTTATTTAGTTGAAATGTATATACCATTTTGTTTGCTTTTCAATTCTTTTCCCTTCATTTTTAACTAGGGAGTCACACACTTTGTAACTTATGTAAAATGATCGTATTGCACACACCAGGAGTTCCTTGCATTCTTTCATTTCCCCACCCTGAACTTGCTGTGTGTCACTCTCCCAATAATACAAATACTGTAAAACTTAAAACAAAAATTAAGTTTTCTCCAAATTTCAGTTGTGTTGATGTACCCCCAGACTTCTCTTGAGTACCCCTAGGGGCTGAGAGGCACTGCCCTGGGCCACTCCAGGGTCTACCCCCCTCCCGCCTTTGGGAGATCCCTTATCCTGCCTTCCTAATGCAGGAGCCTGGTCCAAACACTTGAGTTGCTGTAACTAAAATGTGTAAATTACACACAAATTCATGTGGGAGGAAACACATTCTAAATGAGACCCTCTTCGGCTGGCATGATGTCACAAGCAATATAGCAGAAAATGTAGCCAGGCCAGTTGTGCTTTTGTTATAATGAATGACAATACAAATGAACTTCTTTCTGGAAGACTAAAGATGTTTCATTTTAGATAACAGGTATGCATTGGTGTGTGTGTGTTTTTTTTTTCTTTTTTTCTTTTTTTCTTTTTAGACCTTGCTACCATGGAAGAGAGAATACTGAAACGTTACTACAAAAAGGTGACCGAGTTTGTGGCAGATATGACCAAAATTTTTGATAACTGTCGTTACTACAATCCAAGTGACTCCCCTTTTTACCAATGTGCAGAGGTTCTTGAATCTTTCTTTGTACAGAAGCTAAAAGGATTCAAGGCAAGCAGGTAAGGCAAAGTGTTCCCCATATTGATAATCTCTGTTTCCCTGTAACCTACCTTTGTTTTAGAAAATCTTTGTACTACCCTAAGCTTTTCTTACTGCGCTCATCTAAAGGTCTGGGGATCAGGAGGGGAAGCAGGGGGAGCTAGAGGAGGAGGAGGGGGAGCAGGGGGAGCAGGAGGAATTGGGAAGCAGTCGAGCAGGCTCTGGAGGTGGCCTCGCAGGGCATGGCCCTGCTCCTCCAGTGCCTCCAAGCTCCTGCG